AGTCAATAACAAGCAATCAAGGAAGTCAATCATCACAATTATTCTTCTCATGATTTTGCCTATGTCAATGGGAATAGCATTACTATTCCCAATCAAATATGCAAACTCAAAGGAAACGATCTTATTATGCACGTATAAATTTCCAAAAAATGACCTCAGCCAAAGTCTGAATCTTTAAAGTGGGTTGGAAAACACGTCCATCCCTCAAGCCGTGGATAGTTTACGTCGCGGCGCGCCATTAGCGGCGATAGATGGCGCTGTAGCGGGTTATTTGTCAACAGCGGACGCGACGTCGCTTATTTCACTTTTACGGCGCCGCGTAAAAGTATTCCTTCGAATATCGCGAGATTTACAGTTTATTACATAATGCCCCGCTTTGGGTTGGGCGTCTCTTTATTGTTGCATACCTATTTACGACGCGCCGGTTACTGTCGCGTTTTTATGGGGCATCGTCGAACGTGTAAGCCCGTACTAGATGCTGTGGCTTCAACCAAACGTCAGAAAGCTTGCCGCGATCGAATGCAGTATGCATCATGCAGTGTATCGATTAATGGGGGCCCAATGTTTTTTTTAATTTCATTACCCCTTTTTTAGGGTTCTGTACCGGGACCCTATTGCTAAGATTCCGATGTCTTTCTGTCTGTCTGCTTGTCTGTCTGTCAGTCAGTATATCTATCTGTCTGTCCGTCTGTCACCAGGCTGTATCTCATGAACCGTGATAGTAAGGCAGTTGAAATTTTTGAATGTTCACCGATGTTGTATTTCTGTTGCCGCTCAAATACTAAAAAACTACATACATGATTTTTTGCCTTTTTTTATAGATGATGGTACAGTACTCTTCATGCGCGAGTCCTCCTCACACTTTCTTACACTAGTGGCAGTGTTAAGTCGGTTCTCGATTAACGACAACTAAGCACATCGCTGCTTCTCTGACTACTATGTTGGGATTGAATGTTTTTAATTGCGTAGCCATATACTTAATTCCTCCTATTTGTGCAGATATGACGTATTGTTGAATCATTTTAATCAACATTTTTACGTATTGAAGCACTTTCAGCACGTTTTTACTTTGCTAGAACCACGCAGCATCATTTACTGTTGCACAAATAGCGTGACGTCCGGGGGAGTACCACGGCTAGGATCGGCGCGAATCGGAAGTATCGTTCACTATCAACTTTCACGTGTTCGCCAGCGAGTGTAACACCCGGGGCTACTTTTTTAAGGCTGCCAACCCATCTGCAACCCTTCTGGTGTGTAGAAGATGACCACAGGCGGCGGTAATCACTTACCATCAGGCGAACTTTTAACATAACAAGAAAAATACGTTAAACTTACACACTCCCATGAGATTTGAAGCGTTGCCACGTCTCAAACTGTACCACGAGATTTGAAGCATCTCATTTAACCAATCGCCTGCACAACACAACACAAACACAGACACACATGATTTAGAGCCAAACTACGGAAGTGATCGCTTAAATTAAATTTCACGTCCCGCCGCCAGGGTGCGTTATCTGCGAGAAATTAATTCGCAACGCACCACATTCGGAGGGTTGGCAGCTCTTGATTTATCGGCTCGGTTGCAAGCCTTTTGTTAGTTTGTTATATTTCGGTCGCCTCTAAATTTAGGAATAAAGTTTCACGTCTGATCCTTCGATGGCCTTTTTCACTTATTCGTATATATAAACACGCTTGTCGCCAAGAAAGGCAGGTAAACAGTTTCCATAATGTTTGCATATCTGTGGCAGATCCATAGTAGTAACAGCCTATACGTGTCCCACTGCTGAGCAGCCCCACTGACCTCACATATCTTGGAAATATTTTTTGTTATTTCGAAGACATGCAGGTTTCCTCATGATGTTCTCCTTCACCGCCGACCACTTGATAAGTCCACTTGATGTCTAGGTCAGATATTGTGACAATTCGAAACAAGATTCATGACTGAATTTAGGACCTATTACCATGAATATAATTCTTTTATAAAAAACCATTGCCCTTACTTTAATATAACATTATCCTGTGTTTTAAGGACGTTTTACAAACATAAATTTCACGCGGACAAACACCCGTAAACACAAAGTTCACTTGTAGTCAAACGTTCGATCACATCTTCTGTTAAAAAACAAACGGAGCAAATTATCCATTAAAATAATAAAGTCAGTAGCGTAAATTTAGTTAGCGTTATAAAATTGTAATAAATGACAGTTTAAGGTTTTATTTGTTTTTGATGGTCACATTTATATTTTATTATCTGTTTATGTGAACATCTACGGAAATTACAACTATGGAATCACAGATTTACAATGAATATAAATTTAATTACTATGCTTTTATAAATATACTAATGACCCGCCCCGGCTTCGCACGGGTATTATACTCATAAACCTTCCTCTTCAATCACTCTATCTAGAAAAAAAACTGCATCACGATCCATGGCGTAGTTTTAAATATCTAAGCATACACAGGGCAGACAGACAGCGGAACGACTTTGTTTTATACTATGTAGTGATTAAAAAATACAACAGATTAAATGTTTATATGTACTTATAGATACTGAATGTAAACCATGTCAAAAAACTAATTTCAGTTGGGGCGACCAAATTCAATGATTTACTCAAGGACCGTCCGAGATAAATTAATAACGCACGATTTGTCCGGGCAGCGTGGTCACTGAGTTATGACTGTTTCTCCTTTGACCACATTAAAATATTAGTTTTGCACCGCCCTTTGACTTCCAGTCATTAGTTGGACGAAGTGGAGTCGATTAGCACGGGTATTATGATTACAGTTGGTTGAAGTAACAAGCACAATGGAAACATAACATATACGATTTTTGCATTTACGCGAATACTGCAGACTATTGAACATAGTTTATCGCATTTTCTTGTCTTTTTATTCCTGAAGTTTTTAACTCACTACAACGATCATGGTTACGACACAGAACTCTACATACTTACGTCGCATGCTTTTTTAAATTGGGTACATTTTATAAGTATCTTTAAAATTCATGATGACATAATCCTTGTTTATTTATGAAACAATTATTCTCTACCACTTATCAACATCAATATTTTTAATGAATTGCCTTTGTCTAGATATTTAACTTATTTTTTAATGTTCGATGTGCAATTAATTCAGGTATTCGCATTTGTTCGGCTTTAATTCTATCTGACAAAATTCTTTTCTTAAAATTATTTCCATTACTTAAATGTGTGCTTAGTTCCACATATATAGAGACTGTTTGTGTATAAGTTCAAACATCAAAAACACATGAAGGGTTGCGAAATTTTAGCAAAGTAGGCCATGCTTAACTAACTCATCAGACGAAACTCAAAATTATAATACTTCTACTTCAAGTGACGAGCTTACCCATTGGTATGTATGGCACAGCTTTCTTGTGCATGTGTAGTAACTTAAATATACTCTATCACTTATTAAACAATGAAGAAATAAAGCAGGATTACATTAAAGTTATAGCATTATAATACAGCAATATTGGCTTGAGATTTTATTAAAGTTTTACCAATACAGCAATATTGCGTTAATTACTATAGCTTTGTTAAACAACAATCTTAGTATGCTGATTGTGTTGTCGCTTTGTGGTTGGATACAGAATTCACACAAATCGCAGATTCGAAACCTTCGAAAGGATCTTGCACCAAGTACGTTCCCAATTCCTTACATGCTCATTAGCTCTTATATTTTACGAAATGGTTACTAGACGATACATTCATTCCTTACGAACAACATTCCTTACGCTGCAATATTAAAGACTGTTACTCGTACACTGTAACCGCCTCAATTTAACGTAAAGATGATGTACCCAAAGTACTGATGCATTATTCGTCTATCTATTTAGCGTCACTTCTAATGGATAGCGCTTGTTAAGATAATGAAATTTGCCCCGTAGCCTTCCGAATGATTTAGCCGACCGTCTTATCACCGCAACCCTCCTAGTGACCAGCTGACCATTGTTAGTGAACCCTTTATCTTTGTAGCGTTTACTTGCTCGTAGTCAGAGATGATTTGTTGCAGCCACGAATCGCTCGGTGCTCTTGATTTATGCGAGCCTGGTACCGCTTTTTGCGTCGTCTTAGAAACTGCACAAAGCACTGCGTTGTCTATGGATTTGGTGTGAATTCTAAGGTCAAAATTGTTTATAGACTAGCAGCTAGCCGCGCTAACGTCCGTGGTGAAATTAAAATAGAATTTCCATTATTAGATCGCAGAAATTAAACCATAACTATAATGAAGAATAAAATAGCCCCCATGTTATTGTTTATGCCCATTAATTATTATTGTTGGAGCCTAAGAAACTTCTGCTCGTATGCCCCTTTTATCCATTAAAAAAAAACATTTCTAACAAATTTAATAAATAAATTGTTTGCGAGTGACAAAATATGTAAAAGAAAGAAGATTGCCTGCTAGCTACAGAGCTAGACATTTATTTGAGACTCGACCCGCAATTTCGTCTACATTGCTTATGTTAATAACTACACCGCTTGCCCCACCATTGAACACCCAAACCTGTAGGTTCTGGCTAGCCCATCGGTTCTGCGTCAGATGAAGCTTTTATAGTCTCGGGACTGAAAGCAAAAACATCAGTTAATACAAGATACAAGACCATTGAACACGTAGTGTTTATACAAAACGACGATTCTTAAAACTTTATTAACTTTACGTTAAAAGAAGATATTTCAATATTTTTTTAAGATATGGGCCAAAAATCTAAGAAAGAAAATTTAGAAAAATTAATTGAAATATTTTATAAGGTTTTGCGTGATACAGTGAAAACAGCAGATCTCTATCATTTAATTTTAATTATTAGGCTATGTTACTCTTAAATCTTGAGAGAGTGATAAAACTTCCAAAGTTATAGTAAATCTGTTCTCAAATGAAAAGACATTCTAAACAATAGACATGCCAATTTGAAACGATCTTTATGTGGGTATTACAAACACAAAGAATTTCCTACGGGATCACTAAAGACGGTGGTTTTTATGTTCCAGGCCAAGATGAGCACGGTGGACGGTACCGTGGGTGGTCACCAGAAGGTCGACGACCGGTTGGGCCACCACCAGTCCATGAGCCAGATGCTGTACGGCGCCGGATTGGGCCCTGGGCGATCAGGTCAGTATATCTAATATTGACCAGGTTTGAAACATATATTGACACGGTTCTTGAAACAACAATTGCAGTTGCATTAATAGTACAACCCATTCCGTTTTGGTTATGGAATATTTCTTTTTTTAAAAATGTTCCGCTATGCACTATTATGTAGAAAAACGTTTTTATACATAATAGTGCATAGCGGAACAATTATCAAATAGATTGTATATGCTCTACCTGACCAGACATCTTGAAAACTCTAAACAATTACATTAATTCACGCAAAAGTTTAAAACCTATATGATAATGGAACAAATATGAAATAACGCCAGTCCCTTTGCCGGCAAAAATTGTGTTTTCCACGACCAAAAGATTTACGTAAAAAGAAAGTAAAAAAAAATTGGCATTTCATTTAAAACGCAACATGTGTTCTGAAGTATATATTATTTTAAGTACACATAAGGAAGTTTACATTATTGCCGTCGTCATAATTTAATTACTTTTTATTAAATAAGATATTTTTATTTAAAAAAAAAGTAAAAAAAGCTTATTACAATAATTGCATTGCTCTTTAGTTCGACGAATAACATTGTCTTTCATAATAGTCATACATAATAAATGTTTGATTAAGATACGACTTTTGCAATAACGTCTACCAAATTAAGCTTTGTGTGCGTGGATATTGGGAGATTTTTTGGGTCCGTTGACCAAATACCAGTCAAGTGTTTAGCATTGCCAATTCGCCCCTCCCTTCCAGGGTCGTCGTCGTCGTCTCCAGTGGGAGGAGCCAACACTGGCAGTGGGCTGCTGGTGGTGCCACAGCCGCTCGGCAAGGGACCCTCAAAGCTGCAGCCGTTACATGCCCACGCGCGGAAGTACCACTGCAAGATGTGCCCCCAGGTAAGTGCTGAACGACGGGACATATAGACACAAACATTAGGTACCTCCAATCGACCGTCGTTACGTTAAACGTATTTACTCAAGTGCTAAAAAGGTTCTTTACGTATGTATTATTGTATGTATCTGCTTTAATCATATATTATGTATATTTCTATTGCACCACCTACGTAGTATAAGTTTCCTTTACGCCATCGGTTGCCTGGGAGAGATCGCTATAAAGCGATTCAACCACCAAAATTGCACATTGCATAAAATTGTTCTATTGTGACTACATAAAAATGTATCACTTATATTTATGTATCTACCATTTGTGGTGAAAAATAAAAGTGTTTCCATTCATTCATGTAAGGTTCTGTTACATAAAAACATAATCTCATTTTGTGAAAGCGAGAACGCAATTTTCTTAGTTTCATTAATATTTAAATGTCACTTATATATCATATTGTTTATTAAAGCATACCTTATAACTATGACATAATCGATAGCTTAGTTCATATTCTACCTTTTAATCTGCCGATTTAATTGATTAACTTTCACTGCGTTATAAACGATCCGAAACTGGATTTGTTCAAGCTCGGATGCACCCAAGTTTTCGCCTGCATAGCGTAGGGGCCGGGACAGTCCGAAAATCGCGCCAAAAATCCGGCCCGCAGGACCAAGATGGCCGCCAGGCGACGCGACGGCGAAATGATAATGAACGCCGACGCCGGCTGTCACTCATCGAAATTCAATTCGTCAACTATGCCGTGTAGCGTCCGCAAAAACGCGCCAATCAAATGTTTTATATTCATCGCTTTTCTGTACATCCGAAAGCGGCCGCGCTTGGCCGGCACACCAATTGCGAGTCCTCTTCAACGCTAAATGTGGAATTAATTGGTGTTATCCGCTGCGATGTTAACAAGTTCTTCGCATAAGGTTGACGCTTAATAATCATGAATATCTTTGAATAGTTTTACACGTTTCAAGCGGTCGGCGAAATTACCCGAACGACATGTACGAATCACGTCAAGATCGATTTTAATGGTCTTTATGTAAGGCCAGTGCTTGATTTTTTTATGTTTTGCCTGTTGTATCGACGTAAGGAAACACCGTGGTCCGTAACGAAACAATACAGCAGTGTTATTTATGTTTATTAGTGTTTATTGTGAAAAATGTAAGATTATTTTTTGTTCTATAATAATAATAGTATTTATTGTCAGCTTTGTTACGCATTGTGCAAAAAGCTAATATTCTGCCCTAGTCTGACATAAACTAGCAGAACAAGATTAACAATAAAATTAAAATTATTGAAAACAAAAATTATATTATTATTTATTTATTATTTTTAATAATATTTTTTTTATTTTCGTCGGTGTGGCAATCAGCCATTTAGTGGCTAAAGCGTCAGGCCGCGAATGCCAAAGACGTGGGTTCGATTCCCACGGCGGCGACATTCTTTTCTTACTTTTTCTACAAAAATTAATTGTTTAATCTTAAGTGCAGAGATTTTAACAACAACTTATTATAACAATAAACATCATCTACAATATAATCAAGCAATCGTTTATATTATTTAGGTCGCACAATTAACCACTTATTTTGTAAGTACCTCTCTGCCCAAAATTTATCATAAAAATATATAATGTTTAAGTGTTAATTAATACGTATATAAAAGCACTTTTTAAAATTGTTTCGAAAGTACACGTACAAATTTTATACCAAGTTTTATCTATTTTTCGTTCGTAATTAAAACGTTGTAACAAATCGAAAATAGTTTTTGAACCCAGTACGTAAAACACGCTGATAGTTCCCAAACAAATCAGCGCGCATGGAACGTCACAATATTAAATTCTAATCATCGTTATATTATGCAGTTGATGTTGTTTTAACCATAAAATTGTTTAAATTTTTAATACCTATCCTATAATAATATAGGTTTACCACAAATTTCAATTCTTACAAGTTATTGTAATGTTTCGTACCAATCCTTACTAATATTATAAAGGCGAAAGTTTGTATGTATGGATGGATGTTTGTTACTCTTTCACGCAAATACTACTGAATGGATTTTAATGAAATTTTATAATAATATAGGTTATACGTCAGAATAAGACATAGGCTATAATTTATATAAATATTTTATGTATGTCTGTCTTTCTGTCTAATGTTACACCTTCAGCCTATTCTACGCAGACGTAGTCGCGGGCAGCAGCTAGTACGTAACAGTTATATTTACGTACTAGCTGCTGCCCGCGACTACGTAAGCAGCTAGTACGTAAATATAACTGTCCAAAAAATTTTTTTAAATATACTACAAGAACAGTGCCCACCCTTACCCGGACGGACCTGCCAATTCGTGAAGAATTTTGCGTAGCCCTACCTAATATATATTAAATAATTATTTTTTATGCAGTTAATCGTATGATCTTGATTTTAATAAGTATTACTACTTTTCTTTATCATATTAAAAAATACACGCCCTTTAACCGTGCCAATCATCAACACTTGCGCAGAAGTAGAACATAATCACAGTGGTGATGAGGAGGAGACACTGCTTTGCAAAATTTATGAATAATCGCATCCACAAATTTTGTGCAGTATCGGCCTTGGACAATATTAGGGGTTTGGTACTAGGAGAGCCCAAGTTGGCAACCAAAGAGGCCCTAACTTTAAGCCTCTCATGTATCGTCAACTTTCATAAGGTTGTGGGTTATGAGTAGGCTATTTAACTCGAAAGGATGACCACAAGGGATCGTCTAGGTCTCAGAGGTTGGGACTCATTACCCAACCTTCCTCATAGTCATAATCATCACAACCTTGTCATTGTACGCCATACGAATAAATAAATTAAAAGTAAAGTAACAGCCTCGCAGTCGAGTCGCAGACGCGTTGCCAACCTCAATAGAGTGGGCCCCGGTTACCTCACAGGCCAGCGAAACACGATAGTATAACACTTCCATTTCACTGAAGTAAAAGTAAAGTAAAGTAACAGCCTATACATGTCCCACAGCTGGGCAAAGGCCTCCTCTATATAGAGGGTATCACTGCGGATTGGCGGAATTCACATATTTTCGAAAAATATTTTTTTTGTTATTATTTCGAAAATATGCAGGTTTCCTCACGATGTTTTCCGTTTGAAGGAATGTCCTGACTTATCACGTGCAAGTCAGCACTTAAAATTAAAACCTTCATTGGTGGCACCGGGGATCGAACTCAGGTTGCTCGAGTATATTGAATTAAAGGCGGCCCGGACACTGAGCTATCACGGCTCTTAAACTATATCGCAAAAAAAATATTTAGTTTCTTACTTTTAACGAAATTACATCGACACTACTTTAACAAAAATACATACAGCACGTCGTACTCCCGCTGATATATACTATACACACTAGAAATATTATCTGTCTACAATTTACATAACACACATAATGATAGCAAATAGAACCAAATATTTTGTCCTCACCCACGAGGAAACCACCACAACGTACAGCCACTTTGCAGTGTTTTTTTATGGGAGAAGGTGGTATACGAGCTGGCGGTTCCCCTGACGTTAAGTGATAACCGCCGCCCATGGACTTTTGCAACACCTGTAGGGTTGGACAGATGCGTTTTTACCTTATAATAAAGTGGGCCCCGGCTACCTTACTCACACGACGAAACGCAGAAGTATAACACTTCCACTTCACTTCGGTCTACTGTGAGGATCACGAATGGGCAGGTCCGGTCGTGGTACCGGACCTGCTCATTCGTGATTTCACAAACAAAATGGTCGTCTCACGTAGCGTTTGGAGCGACGTGATCTTTTATCAAATTTGAACACTTTTAAATTGTGCACAATTCGTTTTAAAACATATATTTTCACGTTTTTAGCGTTCTAACATCAAGATAACTTATACTAAATATGTAAAATACATTAAAAAATGACCTTATTTTCTGTGTCTTTGTTGTAAACGATGAATATCGCTGACTATCAGCGATATTCATCAAAATAAAAACAATATTATTTTCACTAACCAAGCGTATTACATATTTACGATCGATTTTTAAAATTACACCTGCCTAATCAAACTGAGCTTGGACCAAGCTCTAATTTAAGATGCCAATACCTACAATAGAAAAAACATCCTCAGATAAATACTCAAGATTGTTTTACTGACCGTACATCTCGCGTGCTGCCCTACACAAACCGCAATTATTCCTCTAGCGTGCGTTTTTGCCGTCCGTAATGCGTTTAGCGGTAGAATAACGCATCGCGTAATTAAAACTCAAACATTATCATATCATCGTTTAATTTTTATTCTTCGGACGGCAAACGTTCGCTGCGGCCGTTGCGAACTCGGCACGACATCGCCTTTTAAGGTGCAACGCATTAATGCCTGCGCCTTAGACGAGTTTCGCGTCGAATGCGTTCGAAACTCGAATGTTTTTTTTTTTTAATTTTCGCAAGTAATGAATTAAAAACATTAAAGCTTATTATTTAAGAAAAACGAACAACTTGAAATCGATATGTATACACGCGTCAATATTCTTTAATTATAATTGTTTGCTTGACTTTTTGTCGCTTAACTATTACTAGCTCGTGCCAAAAACTTTATTTGTTTTTAAACAGTCCCTCTTTATCATCTCGTTTCCGTTTAATTTAAGAGTCTAGTCCTTGCTCTCCCCCTAGAAGTGTCGGTGCAGCATTCATGTCAGTTCCGTCGTCCAACTCAATATATCTTTCTCTGTTCAAAGACGTTTCCTTTACATCCTTATCTTTACCTTTCTTATTTGTACGATGAACAAAATTCGATTCATGTTCATTCGATTCACTCGATTTCAACAATTCCATTTATTCATTCATGATTCTTCCGTTGTCTAACTCCCCCCATCTTTCTCTATTCAAAGTCGTTTCCTTTACCTCCTTACCTCTCTTGATCGTACGACGAATACAACTCCAAATGCCATCATTTTGAACACATGGGAATTTAATCGAGCTCCGCGACAACCGACGCAGAAATTCTTTCATATCGTTAATGCATCGTCGGAGAAACGTCCGATACCTTTGATAGCGCCGTACAGCGGAATACCGCGGAGACGGCCCATAGCGTCGGGGCCGGAAAGATATCGCCACCGCCTTTTTCTAATTAAAAAAAAACTGCCCGACGTTGGGCTTAGCAGCGAGAGTTAGAAAGTAGCGAGTCGGCCCCCGCTACGAGGTCACTGGGACCTCGTCAGGCCGGGGGCCCGCGGAATGCGACCTCGGGAGTCAGCGGCGGCGTTGACACAGACGGACAGGCACACAAAAAGCGCCATCGGCCGATACTTATTGCGTTTGTGTAAATTTTCGCATTCCCGCGCCAACTAGGGGCAAGGATTTGTCGTCCCGTGCGCGCGCGGTGTCGATGTGTTGACAGTTATAGAAATGCCATAGAGAGTCATTCTGTGTGTGTAATTATTATATAATTATATATACCAAAAATACAGATACTATCGCATTATTTTTTAATAACCGATGTATATACTAATATAATAAAACGGAAGAGTTTGTTTGAAAGAGTTAATGTCTGGAACTACCAGTCGGATTTGAAAAAATGTTTTTTCACTTGATAGCCCAATTCTTGAGATAGGTTATAAGATATTTAACGTCCCGCTATGACCTTCGGAGTTGAAACAGAATCGTTTCTCGCGGATGAAATCGCACGTAACATCTATTAATTGACATAGATTAAGTTAAAAAAATAGCCCGCAATAGCTCACGTCCGAACGCTCGCTTTTAATTCAATCCAAGTATTTTCGTGCAACTTGAGTCCAATCCGGTGCCGGCACCAATGAAATTGTTAATTTTAAGTGCTGACTTATCATATGCTCAGCGGTGAAGGAAAACATCGTGAGTAACC